GCTGACTTTGTCCCAGCTAAAACCAGGACACGTGGTGAGGATTGTCCACAACTAGTTGGGGAGAGGAGGAAACCCTGCCAGAAGTGGTGTCATCTGTTGCCTGCAACTGTGAGAACATGAATGTGATAAACTACATTTTTGATTAAAAAAAAGAGTGAGAAGGGGAGGAGGCAGAGCTGGAGCCGGGCACTGGCTTGGGATAGTCTGAGCCTGATGGGTCACTCCAGAAGGGGAAAGTGCTGGGTCTGAAGGAGGGAGAAGCTTGGCTCCACTCTTCCCCCTATGATACTTGACAGTTCCCAGGCACCCTCGGTGCTGTGAGACTACGTGGGCTTTTATGACTTTTATTTCAAGTTCATTTGGTAGTTGCTGCCAGAATTCTCCCAAGGAACGTAGACAAGAAGTGGTAAATGGTGATTAATTTAGACAACCCAAGTAGAGGACTCACGACGGGCTCCCTGTGTAATACAAGGAAGTTAACAGCTTGCTGATGTCCTTTTGTGAGTGAATCGTGTAGCCTGGTTGTTTAATGGAGTGTTTAAAAATTGTGTTGGCAATAGCCTATGAATAATGTATACAGGAATAATGAAATACCTTACTGCTAAGAAACTGCTGATATGCTGGGGAAATTTCCATCAGATGCGAGAACAATTTTGAAAGCACTGTCTTCTTGGCATGCCCTTTATTTATGGTCTTGCTGCTCCAGAGATTGCATTCCCTTTTTAGATACTGCATGTGAAGATGCCCTCCACTGCCTCTGCCTCTGTCTTCCAGCTTCACCTGAGTCCCTTTGCTTGTGTCTGTAAAAGCTCCTGAATTTTGATGAGTTTAGGCTTTATTAACTGAGCACTGTTAAGCATGGAGATATTTGCTGTGCAGTCTTCAGCCATTCTAGGTATCTGCACCAAGGCACACTGCATCAAAGGAAGATGGACGCTGGTTTTGTGTCATGGCAATGTCCCATGATGCAGGAAGCAGAAATAGAGCCAAGTGATAGGAAAATAAGACCAATGTTTCTTTTGCGTGTTTTTGGAGCATGGGCTCCTTATGTGAGATAAGCAACCCCAGAGTGTCATACATGAACGTTCAGATTTTGATGGACTTTGCAATGTGTACTCAGCTCCAGTGCCTCTAAATTTTCCCCCTGTCCTCCAGTGCATGAGGCCTCTGAGTGCTTTTGGCCATGAGTAGTGGGAAGTCATCATGATACTAAGCAACGAAATCTTGCTTGACCAAAGAAAATAGAAGATTGAAAGTGAACCCCTGCTTGCAGGGGAGCTCTGGAGGTTGCACTGCCTTAGCTGCAGGAGGAAACAGGCCTCCTAAAAGACCTCAGGACATAGCTCAGGCACTAAAATGCAGAAGTATCACAGGAGGGCAGATGAACACAATAGGTATCTTATCACTGTCCAGAGTGGTCTCAGCTAAGTGTATGTTAAGAGTAGACCCAGCTCGTGGAGTCTGTAGCTCTGCGCCCTGCCTCTGCCGTGGCTTTGCGATGAGTAGCCTGGTGCTCACGCTGCATTTTTGTGTCTGATCTATACAGTAGAGACTTGAGTCAAAATATTTTGTGCAATACGGGCGGTATATTATTAGTGTAATGCTAGAACAAAGCAACACATGATTAATGTTGATATTAGTCAGCTGAGGAAGTGACATGCTCACCTGGCAGGTTGATGTGATGGGTTTTGAAGTCATGTGGTGATGCTGACAGCAAGCTCCAGACACGAGGCTACAGGGCAGGAGAGAGAATGGGTTAGAAGAGAGGTTGTGTCCTCAGGGTGATCTGCAATTGTCTAAGCAAGAGGATCCTCCAAAACGGGAGGGAAGATTTGCACTTCTATTGGCTTGTTTGCTGCGGGGATGTTCCTGAGGAGCACAGTATTTTTGCAGCTACAGGAAAGGAGGTGTATAAAAGAGGTTAGTCTGAACACAAGATAAGTGGCAAGGACTACCAGAGTCAAACCAGAGTTTGACTGCTAGCCTAAATGTTTTCAGTAGAACAAGTAAAGAGAAAAGCTATCTAAAACTTCCTTCATCTCCACCACCCAAACCCCATCCTGCCAGCCAAGAAGTGTTTTCAGCAGAGAGGGTCACAAAGGTCTAGGCTGAGGATCATGGTAAAGTTCGACCAGCCTTTCTCAGGGTAGAAATGCTGCTAGCAGGCAGCATACACGGAAGAGCAGCTTTGAAAAGGAAGGAGACAGTTCTGTTATGCAGTTTATTGCAATGATGCTTCTGATGATCCTATTAATTTCTCTTTTTTTTTTTTTTTTGATGTTTGTTTCTTTTAGGTGAAGAGCGAAGGCCCCAAATTGGTGCCCTTCTTTAAAGCCACTTGTGTCTATTTTGTCCTCTGGCTGCCAACTTCCAGCCCCTCCTGGTTCAGTGCCCTGATTAAATGTCTGCCCATCTTCTGCCTGTGGGTTTTCCTTCTGGCTCATGGAATTAACTTCTTAGTGTCACACCGGAGTGCCAGCCGCATCCTAGCAGGACTTATCTTCTCGGCAGTGGGAGATGCCTTTCTCATCTGGCAGGAGCAGGGCTACTTCATTCATGGTGAGTGCGGTGTCAGTGCTAAAGGGATGCCACAGTGTCCAGCTGTTACCCTCTTTATTTAGTAATGAGTTGCTGGGCCACGTGTTTTGTTTATTCATGTATACAGCTTAAGCCCCAGGCAGTGGGAAGCACTCATCCCTTGATTAAGATCCATCGTGGTTAGAGGAGTCACACCATGGATGAGTCTCTCTTGAGCTTCTCTTGAGGTCAGGGAGGTAACTGAGGCAGGTTTGGTTTCCTGGCACGTGCTCACAGTATCTCAGCTGGCTGGAGCTGGGAAGGTGGCATAGGCAGAATCCCTGGGGAAGAGAAGAAAATGCTCATGGCACTTGACAGCTCCCATGAAGCTACGAGAAGTATCTACCTCCTATCTCTCTGCAGAGAGATGTCAGCCCTTCCCTACAAGGGTCAGAAATAGGACACATGGTGCAAAGGTCCTCAGTGGAGAAGAGGTGGAGAGGAACCTTATGTTTTGACAGACAAGCCCATAGCCTGGGGCAGGTGTTTAAGTGGATGTCAGAAACCAAAGCATCAGAAATCCTGTCCTTACTGCAAGTTCATCAGTATGAATCATGCAGCCTGTTGTACAAGACATGTCTGTTTTGCAATACATGTAAATGATGGGGAATCAAGGGCAAACCCTACCACAGTGGCCTGTCTTCTCTACAGAAAGATCCACATCTCTCAGAGCAAAACAAGCTTGTTTTATTGTGCCAGTTTGCAGACTGGAACATAATGATTTGGATTAATCATTTAAAGCCACGTTGAACCTGCCTGCAGCAACACTCTCCCTAGCCTTGGACTGTCACAAGAAATCAGCAGCAGTTGAGACTTTCACTAAACTGACTGGTGGGGTTTCTGAAATTGATTTAACCGGCACAGGAATCTCATGTAACACCCATCATTCACCAGCTTCTGTGACTGTCCCACTGGAAAATGTGATGAGATGAGGGAACTCTTCTGACTTGAGCTGTCGTCAGCTCTGGAAGTCGAAGGCTTATTTTTTCCCCCTCTCATGAGGCCAGTATTTAGTTTTATTCTGATATTCCCACAAGCTCTTTCTTTATGTGAGGGAAGTGTGTGAAATGCCAGATATGAAAGGCCAAATGCTCTGAATCTGCTTTTAATCCTGCTTCCCAAAGGCTTATCCCAATCTCATTAAAAGTTCATGTAAAAATTTTTATAGATTTTGTGGGGATTAGATTAGGCCCTGAGGATTGGATCTATTTGGCTGAACTTTGGACATGTTGCTGAGGAGCTCCAGCCTTCTCTTGGGATGCGATGCCCTCTGTGCTGAGTGTTGGCATTCCCACCGACGGGCCTCCTCCAAACAGTGGTACCCGGCTCAGCGCAGGTCGCCTCAGCCCGACTGCTTGTGCTTCTGTTTTGCCTCCTGGAGTTGCTCCTTGAGCTGTGGCTTGGATAGCATTCAAAGCCTGATTCTCACCATGACTGTCTTTGTCTGTGGACTGTTCCGAGCTTCTCCATTCCCACATAGCTGGGATATCTCTGAGTCCCCTCTCCAGTTTAGCACTAGAGGAAGGTCAGCCAGTCCCAGCAATTCAGTATCTGGTTGATGTGTTTTAATCTGCAAATAAGTTGGATTTTCGACCCTAGTCTCACAACTGAGAAGTGTGCTTTGTGGGTTTAGACATATTTTTCTTCTTAAAGAGAAGAAAAGCTGTCTTGGAGCATTTTGAAAATCTCAGCCTTCATCCTGGCTGTCTCCTGCCTGCCTCAGTCCGTGGTAATCCGAGCTACCATCTTCCGTAGTGAAGTGTTAACATTTGCATTTCAGCTGTTCGCAGAGAAAGTGCACCACCCCACCCCATCCTTCACCTCTCCTGCAAAATGTATTTTCTCCTGTCTAAAACTCAGCTGGCTGCTGTTGTTGACGACTGACAATATTCAACCTTTTGACATCATTGTTAGTGGGAATTTGGGATTTCAGGAGAATAAGAGGAAATACTAGATAAAAACGTACTTTCTGTTCAATTTCTATGGCTTTCAGGCTGAAAAAAAGGGTTGGGAACTGGGCTGAATTGAATAGCTTTTGAGACAATGAGTTTATAAAAGGACGTTTGTTCACTACTTTATAGGGAAGCGAGAGCCTGGGAACCTACTCCTGGCGCGCTTGCCTTTTTTTTTGCATTTTTGCTGTTTCAGTCCACTAATAACATGCTATTTTCTGACTAGTGTCTTACTGCATGTAGAAGATACTTTACAGTGTTAACATCCACCTCCTTTGATAGCAGGCACTTAGAAACAATTTATGCATTCAGTGAAGAAGAGGGACTAGCCAAAAGGACTTGCTGCCAGCCTGAGGGGAAGCTCCAGGGGCATGGAGGGAGAAGGAAGAGGACAGACAGAGAGGAGAAGGGCTGATCTGCCTGATGTGGTTGGGTGGGCTGAGCCAAAGGCTGAGAAATGCAAGAGAAATGCACCCCCTCCCTGTGCAGCCATCACAGGTTTCCCCGGTTCCTGGTTTGATTTGTGGGTGTTGAATGAGCAAACCTGGGAGCTGACTCTCTTGTTTGTCACCAGCCTCACCACACATCACAAAACTCCTCCTGCCTTTCTGGGCTTCTGCTTGGCTGCTGCATCGCGTCCTCCTCTGCCTTCTCCTCCTCCTCCGCCTTCTCCTCCTCCTCTTCATTGCCAGTCACCTGCATGAAGGACAATACATTCTTCAGTTCCCCGTCCCAGAACTCTCCATACAATGCCACTAAAGGAAAAAACACTTCTCACTGCTAGGGCGAAGTAGCCTTCTCCTTACCACCCCAAGGCTCTAACCTTTCCTGCACTATAACACTATAAACGGCTCCGGTCCTAAATCCCTCCTTGGTTTCCTTAGTGCTGTGCCCATGATGTGTCGTAACTCTGTGAAATGTCAACTTCTTGTTGCTCTCCTTTGCGTTTCTCTTCCTTCCCCTTCACACTGTACGTTTTCTCCAGCTTCACCTTGCAGACCAGATCCCCGCCAGCCTCCTCCCTCCTGCGGCTTCTCCTCTCATCCTGCCATGGCTGAGCTTTCAGTGGATGTCCAATCTGGTCCTCCCCAAAGGCAGGGAGACACTTCCCCTTCTTTAAGCTGCCTCAACACAAGAGCATTAGGATGAAGAAATGTCCCCCAGCAGCAGGTTTTAGTGACTGCCCTTTACACCACAGCATCATGCTTCAAATGTAAATGAGTGTCCTGATGGAGGACTCACCTTCCCGGATCCTTTTCTCCATTTCATGCTTTAGGGCTGCATGAAAACTTCCAGCTACTGTAATACGCCTGCCAGGATAAAGTGGGACATGCTGCAGCTGCACCATGTGTGGGTCTGGGAGCCAGAGGACCAGAGGAGGTGGACTCAGTTTGGGGCCCATTATCTATGGTTGCCATGACAGCTAGTAATCTGCAGCTGTACCAACACATTGTGACATTTTTTGTCAAATGGATTAATGGCAAGTGAATAACATATGGGCAGTACCTTCCAACACCCACATCTGGCATTTCTCAGGGGTGTTGCACTTCAAAGGGAAGCCGGCATTTTATTTTCACTGATTGATTCCAGCTAAGGCTCATCTGAATCTTGCAAATAGCCATAAAATTTTTGGCAGAGCACATTGGTGCAGTCCCTGAAATATGCCAGCTGCTTCTTTACAGCTTAGGTTTCTCCTAGCTATGGGCAGAGATGGAGTAGAAGCCAGATTTAATCCTGAGTGCCTTGGGGTTTGTGGTCAGGCTTTGTATCTGGGTTCGGAGGGATTGGTGACTTTTTTCACATTTTGTTCCTACACTGCCCTGATTCCAGCCTTCCTGTTCCACGCGTGACCTATGATAGTTAGAGGGGATGACCTTTGGTCCGCCTTGCCCCCACCCTTCCATCCAAAGCAGGAGAGGAGGAACCACCTGAAAAACAAGCTTTGTTCCTTCTGCAGCAGCTTAGTTCACCTGGCCTCTCGGCAAAGCCGCTTGCATCACAGCGGAGTTGTGCTGGGCTGCAGTTATAGCAGCACTGGGGCTTTTTCGTAGGGCAGGAGCTTGGTGCTAAGGCTGATCTCCTCTGCACAGATTTTTATATTAAAACGGTCCCAAGCGGTCAGTATGGTTCCCACTGAAAGCATGAAGGACATCTCAGCCCGTGCTCATTCCGGGATATTTAAAACCCAGTATAGCCACATGTTTTCTTTTGCTACCAACTGCTGGTCACTGATGAAAGGTCACACTTGCTATGTCACTGCCTCTTTGCAGGTCTGCTGATGTTCGCCATCACACACATCCTGTACTCCTCAGCCTTCGGCATGAAGCCTTTGGACCTCAAAGCTGGCTTGTTGATGGGCCTTGTTTCCGGATCCTGTTACGCCTTCCTGTACTCCTACCTCTCAGGCCCGTTCACCTACCTGGTAGCTGTCTACATCGCCTTGATTGGCTTCATGGGCTGGCGAGCAGTCGCTGGCATGCAGCTGTGCAATGACCTCTGGACATGGACCAAGCTCTCGGCCTGCATCGGCGCAATGCTGTTCATGGTGTCGGATCTGACCATTGCACTTAACAAGTTCTGCTTTCCTGTGCCCTACTCGCGCTTCATCATCATGGCTACTTACTATGCAGCCCAAATGCTTATTGCACTGTCAGCTGTAGAGAGCAGAGATGAAGAGGACTACAGAAAGAGGAGCTAGGTGGAGCGCCAACAGTCTGTGAACAATGTGGGTTATGTCTCAGGTGCTGTAGCTGCATTCACCCCTGAGAAAGATCTCCATTTCTCTAGGCACATTGGTGATGTTGATTTTGCTTCTTTGAAGCACTACCTTTGGGGCTTTTTTTCAATGGCTTTCTCTGAATACAGCTTACTTCAGTGTGGAGTCCACATCAGAAAGCTTAGACTGTCCCTGCAGTAGCTACTCATTCAACCTTTCCTCCTTGGAAGTGCTGTACTACTGCATTTTACTTGTTAGTCTTGAAACTGATGCTGAATGTCTGGGAAGAGGAGGGCTGATGGAAAGGAGGTTTGGCCATGCACTGCACTAGAAGAATTACTTTCAACAGTAGGCAGACAGGCGCAGATGTCTCCTAAAGTCATAGGTAAAAATGAATTTAACCGATGTTATGTCTCTTTTTGTGCATTACAACCTCAGTACACAAACTGGAGCTATTGCCTCTGCTGAAGGGAAGCCTGGAGGTAGAGTAAAACCCGCACACTCGTACGAGAGCTGAGCTTTGGAGTCAATGACAGCATGTGGGGCAGCCCCTGGCAGAACCAGAACGAAAACAAAACACCCAGCAGAGAGCACAGAGCAAGAGGTGCGCTGACACGCGGTGCTGTGTGCTTTGATCGTGGCTGATCGCTGCTCCAGGGCCAGTCTGTAGGTGCCCGTCAGTGTTGCTGCGTGTGGCAGAACTAGGAGTTTGGTGGGATTTCAGGGAAATGTAGGTAGCCAGGCCAGCGCGTTCTCCCTCGCCATGCGTGCGCAGTTACATGGTGTCTGCAGCCACCAGTGACAGCGGAGATGTAATGGGCCCATGAGGAACTTTGATTTTCACAGCAGGACTTTGAGCATGTGTCTTACTAATTATGTCCTAATTGTCCTTAGTATGGCAGACAGGAATCTAATAATATTCCATATACTCATTAAGCTTTACGGTACTGCTGCCTGCAGTATCTCCCTCGAATCTTCGTGTGAGCATTTCTCGTGGTCCAGGCCCTGGTTTTGGATGTAGAATGTTGTTGTGTTTTGCCAGCTGGTGGTAAATGATCAGCTTTGCACCGCTTATTTTTGGAAAGTCCCTTTTCAGCAGAGCTTCCTGAAAAGCACCGTCCCATGTGTTCGAAGCGCCTGCCGCTTCCTTCTTGAACTCGCAGTGAGAATGTGAGAGCCATCGGGGCTGGGAAAGCCTGTTTGATTCTGATCCAAATTCTCTGTCTGCCCATCTGCTGAAGCAAGATTACTTCTGACTTCAGCTCTTAAAAAGATATAGGAAGAGGTTGCCCTGAATTTTAATCCAAGTTCATTTGCGATCACATGTACATTTTTTCCTTTTATTTAGGATATCTAACAGTAAGCACTTGTTCTGTTTGAAACTATCTTGAATGCACTTTTTCCTTCTGGCCATCCTGGGGCTGCTCCCATGGGCTGAGATGGCGGCTCCCATGGGCTGAGATGCTCCCCGAGGGCTTGTTTTAAGACACGAGTGCACTCAGGTGTGCCAAGGAAGCCTGCTGAGGGTTTTGGCACCTCTTCAAGTCAAACAAAGACAAGGAAAACAGACTGCACGACTCAAATCCATGTGTGCCCCTACTGCCCCTTGCACACGTGCCCATGGGTAGAGCGAAAAAGAGGGACAGCCCTCCAGACCGGCCTCGTGGGCTGAAAATCACCACGGTCTCCATACCTAGCGTGCCCAGACCATTCCAGGCGAAAGTCTGGCACCAAGTCCCTGGCACAGTCAGCAGAGCAGGAATTCCTCTTTGCGAGGAGCGTGGCAGGGTGAGGGGGCAGCTGAGGAAACCTTACCAACCCTGCTGGCTTTTCCTGTGGTGTTGAGAGGTGCTAAGTGGGTCTCCTGCTCCTCCCCGGCCTCTCGTGTGGTGGGACGGGGTGGGGGACAGGTGTTGCCTCCCCACGACTTCTGCATTAGTGCGAATGCAGCCAGCATCACAAAAATCTAGGTTACCCGTCCTGACTGACCCTGTGGAGTCATCTGCTGCTTTTCAGACAGAGAGCAGAAAGGTCAGCTGCATTATTGGGAGGGGAAGCATTGTAAATAGCACAGCCCCCTGTAATCTCTTCCCTTTAATGCTGTTGTGTAATATTGTCAGTATTCATTCACTGGCGCACCGGGGCCCGCCTGGAGTAAACTGCTGAGGGAATTCAGAGCCATAAAACATCTTCATTCATCAGCGTTGCTTATCTCCTGGCCGCAGCCTGAACCCTGCAGCGTAGCTCTCTGCGGATGTCACCTGCTGTTACTCAGCTTGACCGTTTGCAAATCTCTTCCTGCAACAGCCTGACCTAGCTAAGAGGAAATGTAAGCATTTGGGGTGAGCCCCACCGTCCCCCCAGCATGTGAGCAAACAGCACATTTCTGTCTGTTTTACAGCTCCCTGTCATGGGTCAGTCCAGCACACTCAGTCCTCAGCTGGCAGTTCTTCAGAGGAGCCCCCCGCACTCTGAGCTTCCCTTTCCTTTGAGGAAGAGGCATGTGTGATAAAGTAAGCTTTATTTAAAAGTCAGAATTTTGATCATCTCTTTGTTCCCCTTAGAAATGAGTAGTCTTCGACTTCCTGAAGATGCTTTTCTGTGTGCTTTTTCATCTTGGCTTCCTTTGTTATCCTGCTCTGCCATCAGCCGATACTCACAGAAAAGGATTTTTTAAGTGTTGTTAGGAGGTCTGCTCTCTCCTCTCAACTGGCCATCAGAGGTGCAGTTTCTGGTGGCAAAGGTCTCTGGGTGGCTCTAGCTGGGACAGCAGAAACATGTGCAGCCCAAGTAGGCTGTTGTTCCCGCCTCGTCCCCTCACCTGGAGCGGGCTGGCTGGGATGCATCCTGGCCAGCCACGCTGGCTCCATCCCAGTGCTGCAATGGCTTCAGCCTTCCCAGGAACACGAGGCAGAGTCCTCAGCATACAAAGTCAGGGAGAGTCCTGGCTGGCTCGGAGGTTCGCTGGCAAAGGCTCTCAATCTTCAAGATCTCCCTCCTGCTCTGCATTCCTCCTTTTAATCCATATTACTTGAATGAGACCATTTTCCTGGAGGCTCTTTCCTGCTGGGAAGAGACCAGCTGCTGTGCACACTGATTAGACACAATTTTGAGTTTCATAAACCCTGAGAAACACTAAGCAGCTGCTGACAGTCTGTTAAATACTTTTTCTTGGGATTAAAACTGTTCCCTCAACCCCAGCGAGGGCAATCTTCACTTGGAAAGGGAGCAAACAAGAAGCGGAAATGACGTGACTGCCTGTGGCACTGCCTTTGTGGACCTTCCTGTTGTCTCTTTGCACTGTAAAACTGCGAGGTTTGATCGATTCTTTTCCGTTTCAGGGGTGGAGTCTTTGAGAAGCCCAGTCTTTGGCCCAGGGACATTAGTAGAGACGCTTTCTTTTCCCACTGCTGTATTCAAACACCCCTCTGCAATTCCCGTCTGTGGTCACTTGAGGTTACACACATGGCCCGATTACTTCTGCTCTCTGCTTTCTGTAGTTATCACCCTCTTGGAGATCCTTTGGCTCCATATTTGGACATATAAAAGATGTAGCACATTATTTCAGCCTTGTATCTCTTTCTGTAGGTGGACCCTCCTCACACAGAACTCCCAACGAAGTCAAAGCAGCAATGTTAATTGCAACTGGTTTTTAAATGCTAGTAATGCTTCTGGGCTGTGCCAGGCACACTGATGTCAGCAGGTGAAGCTGGTGTAGAAATGGCAGGTTGAGAAGAGCAAAGCCAGAGGATTTTAAGAGCTTTACTGCTACTTTACCAAGAAAATTATATTTAATACCTGGCTTCTCACTCCTCCATACTGAGGCAACTGTAAGACTGATTGGTTTAAGAATTACTCTGACATGGCTTTTAAGTAGGTTGCTGGAGGTTTCATGTTGTAATCAGTGGAGGTAACTGGTATCTTTTTACACAAGTATATCAAATTCCCAGGACAAACTTTGCAGAATTTTGTAGTGGCTCTTCAAAGTTTTCCAGTCCTGTAGTTTGATAGTAACACCTGTATGTTTTCACCTTGCTATCATGGTTGTTGTGGAAGAAGCAGATCAAAGCAAACAGCAACTGTAATGCTCAGTGGCAGGTGCCTCTTTCTCTGTGCTTGGCTTCTGGATACAGAGAGGGGCTCTTTTAAGCAGAGGCATCATGACTGCGTTCCTGGAAGAGGATGGGAAGTTGCTGACTTCTCATGACACAAGTCCTCCTGGGCACTTCTCCTGCATTGCTCCTTTTGTGGCCTTGGGTAAGTTACTTAAATTTTCTGGGGCCAGGTCCTCATCTGCTGTAAAAAGGCACAAGAGTATGAGGGCCAGTGCCATGCCAAGTTACAGCAGTAGAGGATCAGGCCCTCACCCCATTTCTAAAATGGGGATATTAGCACTTACCTACCTCACAAGGATGCTGTGAGGACTAATGCTCATACAGCGCTTTGAAGATGTAAAGTGCTATATAAGTCCCAAGTATTATCCTACCTTAGTGTTAAAAATGCTTTTAGGGATATGCAGGACTTCTCTTAAAGCATGGAATGTGTGACTGCCTTTCCAGTTTGCATCAGATGGAAAGCAAATGCGAAATACTTATTCATACTGGTTAACAGGATGGGCTCAGTTGCATTTAAACTCTGAGATAGGTTTAGCTTAAAAGTCTGAACTCTAACTTCAGTTTTGCAAATGTTTTTTAGTTCTTCTAAAAGCCTCAACCAAATTCTTAGATGTGAACCTTGCATCCAAATTTTGCAGTCTGGTCTTATCCTTGACTGTTAGCTAGGATAAATCTAATCCAGCCAAAACACAGTGCTCACACAGTCTGCTATGGCTGTTAGAAACACTGGAACAGAAAATGAAGTCATTTTGTTCAACCTTCATTCTGCAGAAGGTCAGCTAGGTTTCATGGGACAACTTGCAAAGGGATGTTTATTTCTGTGAGTTTTACTGGCTTTAAAAGCAGTAGAGAGGGAAGGCCTTGATG